GCAGGTAGCAGAGTGCTGTCAAGAGGTTTTGTGGGCAATGTTCAGCCAAGGCCATGCAAACTGGCCCACTCTAGCACCCATGCGTCTTTCTGGACAAAGCTGAACTCTTGTCGTTGGCTCAGAAATAGAAATGGCACTGGAGAAAAAATTTAACTGGTTAAAGATATTAACTTCTTAAGCCACAGGGAGAAAAATTTGTTTTCCTTTTATTCTATACACACATAGATCATAAATACATTTATGCATTTGTGGGGTACAACGTGTTGATTTTTTATACAATTCGGAGTGCTTACATCAAACTAATCAACATAAATTTCACCTCATTTACTTAATTATTGTGTTAAGACATTATATTCTTGATAGATTTGACTTGTACCCTTGCAATATGCTCCACAGGTGTGATCCCCCCCCCCCGTTTACCCTCCCTCTATCAAACGTCCCCCATCCCTCCCATCCCCCTCCACTTCTGTCCTTGAGAAAATTGTTTTAAAAGAAAACCAGGAGATTTGGGGTGTGGCATTTTAAATAGCTAATAATGTTACCAGTTCATCCAAAATGCACTGTGGATAACTTGGATATAGTTGTTATTGTTCATAGTTCAACATTATGAAGAAAATTATAACATAAGCAATCTTTCAGCTTCGTGGAGAGTGGAAGAAGAAGAGACCCCAAAAGAAGCCTCAAATAACGAAACCCACTCTCCCAGCTGTTTACACCTATATAGAACCTAAGTTCATTTCAGTAGCTAATATAATTACTGTCAAATATTTTAAAAAGCTGGACTCAAGTTAAAGCAGTGAGATACAGATTTTATTTTGTAATAAATTCCAGTCGGGGAGAGGGTCCAGCATGAACTAAACTCACCTTTGCTGAAATTAAAGGCACTGGAGGAAAGGCACTGAGGCCTGTGAAGGGAGGTTGGTCCCCATGAGTAGGCCCTCTGGAGTTAAATGGTGCTTATCCACAGGTGCTATATAATTTTCCTAGCTTCATGACAGGCAGGGGTGTAAGTTAGACCAAGGCAGCCATAGAAGTGGGAGTGAGACTGAGAACTATCTCCTTAAATGCTTGCATTTCAAGGAGATGGTTGTCAGACCCTGAAGAAGACAGTTGTCCAAGGTCAAAGATTTAGATCTCAAAGGGGCAGAGGAAGGATTTCTAATGGCAAGATTTCTAAAGTAGACACTCAAAGAGAGGGCTCAGGGACCTATCTGCATATGGCCAAGTTTAGGCTGAAACAAGTAGTAAATTTTCCTGGCAGGGTTGAGCTCTTTCTCAGGCAGGCATCTTTTTTTTTTTTCAAGACAGAGACTCACTATGTCGCCTGTGGTAGAGTACCATGGCGTCACAGCTCAAACTCTTAGGCTTACATGATTCTCTTGCCTAAGCTTCTCAAGTAGCTGGGACTACAGGCGCCTGCCACAACACCAGCTATTTTTTTGCTGCAGTTGTCATTGTTGTTTGGTGGGCCCAGGTCAGGTTCTAACCTGCCAGCCCCAGTGTATATGGCTGATGCCCTAGCCACTGACCTATAGGCGCTGAGCCTCAGGCAGGCATCTTAAGGCGGGCCAAGATCATCCTAGATACACGGCCTTAAATTGACAGTTTTTTGTTTTTTTATTTTTTTGAGACAGTCTTACTATGTCACCCTCAGTAGAGTGCTGTGGTGTCACAGCTCACAGCAACCTCAAACTTGGGCTTAGCGTGCCTTGCCTCAGCCTCCCAAGTAGCTGGGACTGCAGGTGCCCGCCACAATGCCCAGCTAAAATTTAGAGTTTTTGTCATCATTATGGGAGAGAGTATTGTAAACACCAAGGGTACAGTAGTATACAAGATACACACAGAACTTTGCCCTCTCGGAGCTTAGGGTCTGATCAGGAAGACAGACACATGACAATAATAAACCGAAGTGTGATCAGTGCTATAATGCAGAATATCCCAAAGTGCATTACATGGAACTTTAATATCTTTGGGGAGGGACGTAAAGAGCAAATATTTCGAACCATCAGACAATCAACAAAGGGCTTACCTAGTCTGGAGTGACCTGAAAGTCTTCCTTGAAGAAGAAAAATTAAGATTGAGACCTGAAAAACTATGAGTAGAAGTTAATCGGAAGAGCCTTGAGAAGGCTCGGCGCCTGTGGCTCAAGTGGCTAAGGTGCCAGCCACATACACCTAAGGTGCTGGGTTCGAATCCAGCCCGGACCCGCCAAACAACAATGACGACTGCAACCAAAAAATAGCCAGGCGTTGTGGTGGGCACCTGTGGTCCCAGCTACTTGGGAGGCTGAGGCAGGAGACTCGCTTGAGCCCAGGAGTTGGAGGTTGCTGTGAGCTGTGAAGCCACAGCACTCTACCCAAGGGGATAGCTTGAGGCTTTGTCTCAAAAAAAAAAAAAAAAGAAGAGCCTGGAGAAGGCTTCGATGAAAGGAAGCAATAGAGACAATTTTACACTGAAGAACAGTATGTGGGAAACACTGAGATGCCAAGTTGGGGTGTTTAAAGAAACAGAGGCCACAATAAGGATGGAGCCCTGGGAGCAACAGCAGGAAATAGGAGATGAGGATGAAACATTGACAAAGGGCAGTTGGTGGAGGATCTTACGGGTTACAAGAAAAAGAGAATTAAACAAGGGTTTAAAGGAGGGTGGAGAAATAACATTTACTCTGTAGAAAGTTCACTCTGAGCTCGGCGCCTGTGGCTCAAGGAGCTAAGGCGCCAGCCACAAACATCTGAGCTGGCGGATTCGAATCCGCCTGGGCCCACCAAACAATGACGGCTGCAACCAAAAAATAGCTGGGCATTGTGGCAGGCGCCCATAGTCCCAGCTACCTGGGAGGCAGAGGAAGGAGAATCGCTTGAGCCCAGGAGTTGGAGGTTGCTGTGAGCTGTGATGCCACAACACTCTACCCAGGGCAACGACTTAAGGTTCTGTCTCAAAAAAAAAGAAAAGAAAAGAAAAGAAAGTTCACTCTGACTTCAGTGTAATAAAATAGTTAAGAAAGAGCAAACCTGGAAGTAGGAAAAGCAGTTGGCAGGCTGTTGCAGTGAATCAGGTGAGCAATGATGGCAGCTCAAATTATGGTGATTGCAGTAGGAATGAACAGAAATAGGACTAATATCTGGGAAGGATGTCAGATTGAACAGATGCATCATCATTTGCTTCCTCCTGAAACCACATTTCTGCTGAAAGCACAAATAGTTTTTGTTTTTAAGTATAAACCCATAAGGATACAGAGAATGGGAGAGAATTTGACTGCAGTGAAATTTTGGAAGCAGCAAAAGTGATGGACAAATAGTCTGATTTAGCAAGCCAGAAGAAGAAAAAGCCCAAAGTCAACTTTATTTATATAACAGAACTACAAAAAAGTGCTCCATGTGGTGGCTCACATATTTAATCCCGGAACTTTTGGAGACTGTAGCAAGAGGATCCTTTGAGGCCTGGAGTTCCAGATAAGCCCAGGCAACATAGTAAGACCCCGTCTCTACAAAAATTTTAAAATTAGCCCGGCATGGTAGCATATGCCTCTAGTCCCAGCTATTGGGGAGGCTGAGGTGAGAGGATCACTTGAGCCCAGGAGTTCGAGGCTGCTGTGAGTTATGATTGTGCTCCTGCAATCCAGCCTCGATGATAGACTGAGTCTCTGTCTAAAATGAAAAGAGAAAGGAAGGAAGAAAAAGAAAGAAAAATTTACTTCTCACAGTTCTAGATGCTAGGAAATCCAAGATTAAGGCACCAGCAGATTCAATGTCTGGTGTGGGACAATCTGTTTCCTTCCTGGTTTATTAGACAGCAGCATCTCACCATGCTGTCACATAGTGGAGGGGGCAAGAGGTCTATCTCCAGCCTTTCATATAAGAGGACCAGCCATGAGCACACAGACCCCTACCCATGATGTAATCACCTCCCAAAGGCCCATCTGATACCATCACCTTGGGACTGAGGATTTCTTTTTTTGTTTGTTTGTTTTTTGTTTTTGTTTTTGTTTTTTTTTTTTGAGACAGAGCCCCAAGCTGTCCCCCTGGGTAGAGTGC